TTATATATATATGTCTAGTCTTGGTTCTATTATTTAACAGTGGTTTTTTCCCCTGAAAATAGTGAAAGAACAAAAAAGAAAAAAGAAAGAATATTGAACAATCTCGCGTTTTTACTATCTGATATTTGCGGACCGGAAAACTGGGGCTCCCGAGGATCGATCCAGTCCCACGAAGCATAGATAGATTGCACGGCTATTAGTCGCGTCTTATCCCTGCGATGCGAGCACGCCATCATGAACTCGTCTGATTTGACCGAACCATACACCAAAAGGGTCAGCCCTTCAGATCCCACGCACCGATCTTCGTCCCCTCAACCTTCCGTGAATGGCTCAAGACGCATGTCTCCATTAGATGCGCGAAACCATTCGATGGCAGCCGATCAGAGTCAGCCACAGTTGATCAACGAGATCACTCCCATTGTGACTAACGGTTCCTCCACCCGAAACTATCTCTCGACAGATGGTTTGCGGAACCGAGACTCGGGATCAACCGATTGTCACCAAAAAAGCTCCGCGCAGCGGGATACCGGGGCCGAACAGCGATCGGATTCGGCGGAGCCTCATACATCATGGTACAGCCGTATCGCTGATCGATATGGCAGCTTAGAGCTGGAAAATAAGGGCAGTGTTGCCCGTGATCATCTTGCATTAGGTGCGCTACATGATACTGTTCCTCCCGTTGTTTTGTTAACAGCTTGATTGTGATCTTAGAGCGAACATTCCTCGCGTGGCTAAGAACATCTTTGGCCTTTGCATCCATTGGAATTGCGGTGACGCAGCTATTCCGCTTGAACAGTTCAAATAACAGCACCTCAAGTGCGCAATACTCCTCTCAGGGTCTCCCTCCCCTTCTATCGCCCCCTTTCTATGATCCCGCAGCTATCACAGTAACTGCCACTTCCCAGCGCCTCCGCAGTATTGGAAAGCCACTCGGTACGACTTTTATCGGAGTTGCCATTTTGATTTTGTTGATTGGGTTCCACCGTTATTTTGAGAGCCAATATTGGATCATCCGTGGGAAGTTCCCAGCTAGCCGTGGCAGCGTAGCGATAATTGCCTTTGTAGCCGCTGCTTTGATTATAGCTGCCTTGGTTGTCATCCTGGCTATTTCCCCCGGTGCGATTGAAAACTAGCGAAAGGTTTCGCAGCACTGCCATTCATCGCATAACATCCGCGGTTTCTACTTTGTTAGCTTTCTCGGTGTTCAAGCGTGGAGTCTAGGTGATTATTATGCATTATCATTCATGTTTTGTGCAAATATAAATATCCGTGTAGATAAGATAGCAGATGAACATGTGTATTGGAGCTCTTAATATGATATATATATATATTTGAGATGCAGGCAGCCACTGGTAGAGGTAGTTCAAGATACTGTTGAATAGTAGTAGCCCTCGTGCCGTAGCTAAAACTCTATACTTGCCTAAGCGCGGATCCCACCTGCATGTATTTTCTTTGTCTGTATAACTGTGACTATTTTGACCGAGTTATATTGTTCCTTTTAGTTAAACAACTTGAGGATTTGCTTTCACACCTGAGGTTACCTGTTTCTGCGTTGCTTTAGCCACATATTTGTCTCTATTAGTTCACATTTATTGGGTTCCGAAGGTTGGAATGCCCGTGCAACCGAATATGGAAATGGTTTCTACCAACACATCATTCGAGGACAGGGTCTCAACGAACTGTTGGACATATAAAGAATATTCTCAATCTTACGAGAGCGTAAAAAGCGCTATTAGACGCAGAATTCAAGAATTACATCCCATTGCTGGTCCAACGGAGACGACTCAAGGCTCATGATTCCTTATACTAAAAGGCAGGCTAATGAAACGCACATTTGATATTAAGTGAAGCATGAGCTGCGGGTGATAGAAATAAGGGATAAAATATGAAGGAATCTCGCTGTCAATCAATCCAATCAAAGCAGACACCATCTATTATATTTGTAGTCTATTCAAGGATAGGCTTTTCAAACCCATAATTCCCAGTCAACAATATAGCTATAGCAGTAGATCAGCTTAAGTATGCAATAAAAAACAGTAAACGGTAGAGATACTAACCATTTAGTTTTCTGCTTATCCCAAATAAGATTTGAGATGTTTGTATCCAGCTGGAAAAACCTAAGTTTTTAACATTTTCTAAAGTTGTATTGATAAGCTATATTTATTAAATAAAAGGAGATCTGATAGTGACTTATTTATAGGATGATTTAATTGTGTCTTGTATTTGTTTCTGCTCTTCTGGTTCTAAAACTTTTATGTATTTTTTTGAGAGAGTTACTCCTTCAATCTTCTCCATTATAATGTAGTTAATAAAGCCATTGGGAACGCAGCTGTCGGAATCCTGATTTTCATGCTTTGATGTGATATACTTTGGGGTATATGAACAGCCAGTATCTGTTAGTATTTTAAGTGCTTTGATTTTTTGTGAGGTTCGGATACAGATATTTCTTTCCGGTGGCTGAATAAATGTTTGGGAGGAAGAAGAATTATCGATACTATTTGGAATCCTATACCTTATTAGCCAGCTTTATAAAGAAGATGAGGGTACTATACTGTATTTGAATTTTTATGATAACCTGAGTTGAGCTGCTGATATTCTTGCAAATGAAGATGCTGATTGATTCTGAGTAATAATCTGAGGAATGATCATATTTATCTTGTGGGTAGACCATCTCTTTTTCTTGTATTTTCTGGATTATCCTCTAAGAGGATGGCGGCTCCGCAAACTGTATAGTTTTTGTCAGCCATCCGCTGCCAAACCAACCTCTACCATTGTGTTTGATCATTATGAGCAGTTCGCGGAGTCTATGAGATATGAAGCAAGTGAGAAAATGAATAGTCATTTGGGTAGAGAACTTACAGGCCTTATATGATCAGCTTGCAGTTACGGGATCCGGAAATAGATATTCTCCGCATTCCTGATTTTACGGTTCCATTTCATTATGCCATCGTTACTTGTCACCAAGTACGGGCAGACGTGTGTTTTGCTATGTTATGTAACATAGTTTCCTTTACATTTCATACCTATTCTCTCTACAGTGTAGTATGTACATAAAAAGCTCATATGATGCATCTTGTTGTTTTTCATTGTAAGTCTTCTAAGCAGTGTCTCTTCTCTTTATGATGTCCTAATTGTCCCTTCTGGACTGCAGTGCTGTAAAAGGGCCTACCCTGTCTAATCAAAAGTATGCTGCATATGGTTGGGTATTTAGGTCAGCTGGGTGAAATGGATTAAGAACCCTTTCAAACTGGAGGCCTCTAGTTCGGCCTTATAGGAGCTCTGACCAAGCTAAAAATGGGCTGTGGGTCTTGTGGATCCGAGAAAGACTTGATATATTTCTGAGCCTTTAAGTATAGAATCCCTGCTTAGGATTATCATTATTTTCTAATTCCCATGGAGGGCAATCACTATATTAACGTGGCCAAGAGGCCGGAGACAATACAGGCACTAGGTCTATCCTGCACAAACAATGGAACTATACTAACTGAATTGCAGGAGATTAGCAGCAAGTTACTTAGCTACAGGCTGTTTCTTTCCCATCGTACACAATAAGACCCTCATTTCAGCAATTTCGAAAATCCACCAAATCCTCTGGGACACCCAGTTCCTAGCAACATCGAGCTTATTTTGTAGTAGTAGCTGATCCGCTGGGCGAAGTTTTCGGGCGTCGATAGAAAGTGGACAGGAGACAATTCGGAGTCTATGGGGTTCATCTTGAAAGCGAGCCAAAAATAAAATTCTTCTGTTGGCAGAAAATCCCAGATATATGCAGAAAATTGTAATCCCAAAGCTAAGTTCGGCTTCAGTTACGTTGTGGACACCTTCGTCGCCCTGAATCTTTGGCCGGACGGCGCAATATCCAGGGGCGGCCGTATTCGAATGTCTAGGCCTCTCGGGTTCACTGCTTAACAAAGAGCCATACAGATCCCAGGAACAGAGAGATTTCATACAGAATATAGTGGTAATGCCTTGAGTGAGAAGTGTAAGAAAATAAAGAAATAACAAGAGTCTGGCCTGTACTAAATTACAGTAAGTACTTTGGACAAGGCTGATGTCTGTATAGATAGTATTCAATCTCTTGATATTCTGATTGCGAAATGCGGCTTTCTTTGTTTAGCGCTGGGATAAAGGAGCTAAGCAGGGGTATAGTCCTTTCAGCGTATTTGCATATTATTTATGGGCTAGAACACTATCCGTTAACCTATATTGGCCAACATTGGGAAGATTGAATGGCTGGTCGTAAGCTAACTTAAATATGAGTTGGGCTACTACAAGGAAGGATATTGGCTTCAGCATTGTTATAGAGACAGGATGTTGTGTATAGCCCTAGCTGTATAGACTAATTGATCGAGGAATGCTATCCAGTCTTGTAGACTGTGTATTGGAGTCTGGGTACCAATAAACTGACTGAATCTGATATATGATCTGCATGGTCTCTCAGAGATTGCCCGTTCTTCTCCGGGTGTCGAACATTGGGTGGCATATAGGATGATGGTATAGATGACTGCGGTGGTTGGAGCTGGGAGTTTGTAGATATGTATAGGGTTACATTATAATGTAGCCCCAATTGAATATATCGTCGCTAAGCAATGCACCCCTCCTTTATACAGAAACTGTATTGCTGATCCAGTCCGGTATATCTTTCATTTACTCTCAACAAACCATTCCTCTATAGCTAAAAATACAATGAGGCTGTGATTTTACAAGGAGACCCCTCTATATTGTGGCTGTTTCTGCAGATTGTGGTGTTCTGCCGTCTTACAAGGCAGTACAGAAAGCAGTGTGGGTCCTCATTCTTTAGCATTCCGCTGTAGCTTAGAACTTAGCTTTGAAATCAATTCCATCATCTTCCCCAACACCACCACACTTGTACTTCACTGAGACTTTACAGAAGGCATCGAGTTATACTACCATCCACTATGCTATATACAACAAAAGAAGCGACAAAATACAAAATTAACTACAATAATTGTGTAAAAGTAAAAAAAGCAAAAAATGTTTGACAAGAAGGGGATTCGAACCCCTGATCCTTGCGGAAGTAGCAACCTTAGTTGTGCTAAGGCAAGTGTGAACTTGAGACTACCGCCATAACCACTCGGCCATCTTGCCATTTGATGAAAGAACAGCCAAATGAAAGCATATACATTCTAACAATCTACATTCTCACCAGTTTAGCTTTGACACATTCCTATCCAACATTAAGTTGTTCCTGAAATTACTTGGTGTATACTTAGCATTATCTTTGCTCAGTTATTACTTTATTGCTTCACCAATATCACCTTCTGTCTTGTAATCTAGAACCAATTAACAATTCAACTAACTGGGACTTAGACAGCGCAAATGATGAGTAAGTACTTGGTTCCTGTTGTGACGAACCAATGTCGGGTTGGCCATATAACTTGAGTCACATTACTAGAACACGTGGTATTCTGTAGATTTGGCGAGTACACACAACATGTCTTGCCTTGTTGTCTTTCCTTCTCAATTTTCGATTTTCTAGTGAGATGGTGCCAATTAGCAGCAAGTTCGCATACTCCCGCAATCGGACTTAACGGAGATCTAATTGATAGCTAAGACCACGTGATTTATATTCCACATCAAACCCATCAAACAGGTGCGGCACCTTAGCGTGTAAGTTGGGTGGAACAAAGATTTAATGACTGCGGCCAAGTTCCGTTATCGAGTCGTCTTTTAGCATTCCCTTGAATGGAGCCTTTCCATATCGCGCCTTTCATTCAACGTTCTGCCAAGATACTGTCCATTAATACGTCTCTGAACCACCAATTTCTAATTTCGCCCCACAATCTCGATCTACTAACGTTATCGATTCGTACGCCTCATCGCGCCGCGCCTTTTTCTCCCCGTTCGTTGCCAACCGTTTACCAATAATCCGCTTTTAGCATAACGAACAATCCATGTCCTATGCGTTCTTTAAAACTCGATTGATTATCCCCGACGTGCACGAATAATGGCAGATGAAAATGAAGCTCAAATATTTACGGAGGAGAAGATGCCAGTGGAATCTCTTGTCCAGGGACGGTCCAAGCGAAGCACGGCAGGACGTCACATGTCCGCCCTCCTCGATGCCGCAGCCGACGATGATCTTGCGCTCTTGTTCGAAGAGGTAGACGACGACAACGAGTTCTCGGAAAATGCAGAAGAAGACGGGGTAGAAGATGATGACATGGGGCTGGAGTCCTCTGACGATGATGAAGATCAGGGCCCCGATGCTCGAGCCGATGATGATGAAGGTGAACAGCAGTTGCAGAAGGAAGAGAAAGCGGAAAAGAAGAAGCGAAGGGCCCAGCAAGATCTCCGATTCAAGATTACAAGTAAAAAGGTCAAGATCGATCCTACTGCCGTGTCAACAATACCCGCCCCTCGACCGAAAAAGAAGTCCGAACGTATCTCATGGATTCCCACGCCGGAGGAAGGGCCTACGCGATCTTCTTCGCGTCGTCAGACCATGCAAAATAAGGAACTTACGCATGCGCGTCTTAAAGATAGTGAAGAAAAGCGTATCCGGCTAATAGCGACCATGGAGGAAGCAGCGAAAAGAAAAGCGCATTTGAAACCTAAAGAAATGACTCAGGCTGAGCGCCTCGCAGAGGCCGAAAGGGTGGAAAGACAAAACAGCAAAAGCCTTAATCGATGGGAGGAGATGGAGAAGAGAAAGGCGGAAGAAAGACAGGCCAAAATCAAGGCACTCCAGAACCGTCGCCTTGAAGGCCCGGTTATGTCCTATTGGAGTGGTGTAGCTACCTGGGTGGACGGTCGCTTAACACGCGTTGGTAAGGTCGATATAACAGCAAAACCAGAGAAAGAGGATAATTCGCGCAAGAAAATCAAGAAGACAGACAAGGAGGGAAAAATCGTGGCTGAACAGAAGCCAGCTGACAATACTACCTCCGAGCCCGTCACCACAGAAAGTGTACCGCCAAGATCTTCTGAAGGTGCTGTAGAGCCAAACGTACCTAGCCAAGAACAAGCTCCTGAGAAAACACACGATCACACACAGACTCAAGAAGCCGGCCCTAATGCCACCGAAACGATTAGCTCGAAATCGGAGGTTGTCACCAATGGCGATGGTCCCGATGCTTCTGCAGTATTAGAACAACCTCTCGTGCCCTCCGTCGATGAACCCGCACAAGCACCGAATACTGGGATAGTAGCAGACCACACATCATTAAAGGATAAGATAGAACCTTCAGCCAAGACACCTGAAGACATAAAGATGGGCGATACTTCAAAAGAGGAGCAGGTGTCGCCCTCCAGCGCAAGAGGGAAATCTGAAAATCTAGTGGAAGACCACATTCCAGCTATACAGGATACAGAGACGCCAAATGATGTTCCCAACACGAATCCATCAGAGCCGAAGAAAGACAATGCGCTATCATCAGAAGAACCTGCTACCGATTTATCGAAAGAACCAGTTGTTGACACGACAACTCAAAGTGTGCCTGAAGTAAACAAAGTACCTGAGACAACTACTCCTGCACCTGAGCTACTTAATCAACCTAGAGAATCATCTCCAGAAAGGGAGCAGCAACAGGTGACGCCCGAGGTACACGTAGATCAGCCAGCTACAATGAACGAGACAATACAACCAGAAGTCCCACAACATCCTCCCGTTGTTGAGCATATGGGAAGAACTTTGACCGTGTTGGAGAACTTCGATGACAAAACCGCCCAAAGTCGCGAATTCAACATATACTTCAATACCAAGAAACCTCCAAGGCTTACTAGTATATCTCCCCATATCCCCCCCCCCCCCCCAAATTTATTTGAGGCAAGCCTCCGCCTTTTGGGTACTGGCTAATTCAAAGATAGAAATTTCCTCGTCACTTTGTGTCATTACATCTCTCCCATCACGATATCGAGACCCGGAAACATCTCTCCCATTCGCAAATGCGTATGCATACAATGAGATCCGAAATACTGTCGATCAAAAATATACTTGGAGCGCTATGCTTGGCTGTTACGTGGGTTCTGCCGGAGTTGCAGCACAGGGAGTCCCTGAGCGTTTTTTAGATCCCAATGCACAGCCGCCACCTAAGGTCAGTGAAAAGGAGAGCATTGGTTCTGAACCTTCCAGTATCAACAAGAAGAAACCCGGCGAAACCAAGGCTTCTGGAAACGTCCCGAAAGCCTCTACTCCGGCAAAGGCAGCTACGCTTACCCCTACACCCGTACCCGTGGAGAACAATACGGGGGACACGATGGATATTGATTAACTATAGAAGGTAGAATGGTGTGGAAGGGGGGGAACCAGTCCTTTAGTTGTGTTTTCTACCGGCTTTCGAATGTATGATGACTTTCTGCGTGGGCTTAGACGGCGTTCCGGCTCAGATTCCTGCTCCATTCGGCGAGGCGCCTGCATAGCCATGCGATCATTAGTTCGGTTTCATCCGGCTAATAAGATCTTGATGATTGATTGACTGATTGTTGCATTATTTCATTTTTCTTTTTGGTTTAGGGGGTTGAGATTGGAGGTAAGTGTGGGGATATGGGGTTCGGCTTATAATTTTCCAACCCTCCAATGGCTTACATACTCCACATTTACTATTAGAGGGGCTGTGCTCGATCATTCAAATAATTAAACATTAACATGTATCTGGGATGGGAACCCTTACGGGTTGCGATCCTGGCCGTTTCTCAAGATGAGTGGGCAAGCTCAACAGTACTGACTCTGGTGCGGACTCATTTCGTAACTGAATAGTCACCCAACATACTGATTATCTCTTCCAAGGGGGCGTTATGCATATTTATAGCCTCAGGATAAGCTTTTTGCTCCGTCTTATGTTCGTACAGGCCCAGGCTATCGTCGTCCGCCTCGCAAGCCTTTGCCAGGCTGACTACTTGTTCAAGACGCACGACCTGTTGATCTCCTCCGTTATCTATTGCTCGACGAGTTGGGGAGTTTGATAGTCCTTTTGCGAATGCATCAGACAAGGAAGTGTGCCATTCATTCCCCGTCGACAGTCACTTCCGTTGCTACTGTATAAATTTTTGACTTCTCCCACTGATTCCCGGTTATTCTCGAGATGTTGGTCAAGCTCTTCTTTTTTTTTCCCTGCGCGAGGGAACCCGTAAAGAAGACCCATGGGGTTCGGATGCCCTAAGTGACTACTCCGTCTAACTCTTTTTCCGTAAAGGAATTTCAAAAGGATTCAGTATCAATAAGTCTTGACTTAGACACCCGGTATGAATAAAGAAAAGAAGAAGAAGAAGAAGAAGAAGAAAAGGAAGGAATGGCCTGACAATACGGGTATTAAATGACACAGCAATACCTGACTAATACCATCAACCGTCTGGCCAAATTCTAATTAAATCATCATTTACCCCACCTTAAAAAAAAAAAAAAGAAAGTGAAGACTAGAGATAGCACAGACCAAACCACCACGATATTACCAAGTCTTGTGCATAACGGCAAGTAAACTGAACTGAGCAGAATTCTGAATTTCTCCAAACAACTGGTTTCTCTTCATTACCAGTCATGTCTGCACAACCAACGGCCGATGCGGCCCCTCCGAGCTCTGCGACCGGTGCCGTCTTGGTGGCATCGGAGCCGGTCCCAGAGGGGACGCATCAGGTTCAGGGAGTCGACTTTGAGAAGTCCCACGGTCGTGACATCACTGTGGCCGAGATGGTCGATCAGATGAGGTATATGGGGTTTCAAGGGACCTCCGTCGCCGAGGCCGCGCGCATTATCAATGATATGGTATGATGAGCGTGATTCCGATATTCATAAAAAAAAGTGCATATTAGCTAATTGATTCAATGTTTGGTTAGCGCGCATATCGTCATCCAGAATCTGGAGAGAAGGCCACAGTCTTTCTCGGTTACACCTCAAATCTGATTTCATCCGGTCTACGGGACACAATTCGTTACCTGGTTCGCCACCGTCATGTTTCAGCCATTGTCACCACCGCCGGCGGTGTGGAGGAAGATTTAATCAAGTGCTTAGCGCCTACATATATGGGTTCATTCACAGCAGCTGGAGCGGGACTTCGCGCGAAGGGGCTCAACCGGATTGGCAATCTAGTGGTGCCAAATAGCAACTACTGTGCCTTTGAAGATTGGTTGATCCCGATCTTGGACAAAATGTT